CTGTCCTTCTTGGGAACGAGAAATATCCTGGAGTAAAACCCCGGTGTTATTTCTGGTAGAGCTAACTCCCGAACTGCCCTCTTCTCCACCAACCTGCCGATGGCATCGGCGAGGAAGGGAAGATCGGTTTCCGAATAGAAACCTGCCGACGGGGCAACGGTGAGCGGCGGATTCGCTTTGAGATCGAGCCGATAGCCGTACCGAATCGTGTTGACCACCCACGGGTCGTCGAACACTTGTTCCCAATTCTCCCAGTAAGTCTGGAGTCTGGCTCCCACTGGGGAAAGAGAGGGGGGCCGGACGGGCTGCGGCAGGCGCAACTTTCCAGGGCCAAGTGACTCGGGTTCGCCTACGGGCCAACCGAAGTTGGCGCTGTCGGCATACGAACCCCTCCAATGAGAGTCACCTGGAGGGGCCCTTGCCGTCCTTAGACGACTTGGGCTTCCCCCAGTTCCCCTTCTTCCCGCGAAAGGGCTGCTGAGAACCCTTACCGGAGCCCTCAGAGCGGGGCTTCTTCCCGGAGGAAGAAGGACCCGACCCCTTAGGCCTGCCGGACGCAGCATCCTGGGGCGCGCTCCGCTTCGGAGCGGCACCCAGGCGCCTATGCAAGGACCCCACAAGATCCAGTGTGTGCCGAGAGGCCTCGGCAGACACAGCGGCCTGTTGTTCCTTCAGAACCCCAGGGATCTTGTTATTAAACAGGGTCCGAGCAGACCAAGGCTGCGAAAGGAGCACCTCCTGATTAGCAGCGTCCAACCCTGAAGCAACCAGATACGACTGGCGCCGAAGAAAATGGCACGTGCCGGAAACAAAGGCCAAAGCCCCGGCAACGTACTCCAGGGAAGCATTCAAACCGAGCAAGCAGTTGTAAATGCGCTGGTCTCGGTCCGTGGGAGAACCTTCGACCAGACTGGCCGCTGCAGCCAGGTATGTGTCTCCGTGAGACATTGCCAGCATGGAGTGTCGAGCGAGGGTGTCCAGCTGTTGCAAGGTACCTTGTGGTACCGTGGCAACCGGTGGGGCACGGACCCCCAAACGCTCCACATGGGCTTCCGCAGAAGGACCAGCCTCGGGAAAGGCAAGGTCATGTACTGGGAAAGACCCTTTTCTCCACGACGGGGGAGGTAACGGGAGACCCCGACCGGAGGCAGCCGTGAAGGCCTTCTCCAAAGAAGGCTTAATCCCGCGCAGCAAGGTTGATGCCGGGAAAGCCTTGTCGGACGTCTCGCCGTATACCTCGGAGGAACCCACGGAACCGTGGATTCCCCGCGGTATCGGCAGGGGCTTTGGCATGTCCTCAAAGAGGTCATACACCATGGCAACGCGGTCCTTAACTGATAGCGGAAGCAACGGTTCGGGGGAAGGACCGGTAACCACGGCAGCCGCCGCCGTACCGGTGGACCCCGCGTCCGAACCCGCGGCCACCGAAGAGGCCGGGGACGGAACAGCCAGCGGCCTATCTTGCGATAAGGCCGCCAGCTTGGAGTCCACGAGTTTCGACAATAATGCGGCGACGGAATCCCCAGACAGCCCGAGGGCCGCGAGGGGATCCGCCGCAGCCGAGGAGGTGGTACCCGCACGGGGACCCCGACCGGACGAACCGGCCACCACAGGGGTGGAGACGGACTGTACGTACAGCCGGTACCGCTCAAACTCCGCAGGCCCCAGACCTTCGCACAGGGTACACCGGGTGTCCCCGCAAGGAACCCTGCACCGCGGGCAACGATTGTGGGCATCCCGGGAAGACAAAAACTTTCTGCACACCCCACAACTCCGAGGAGCAGGGGTAGAGGGGGTGGATACTGGGGACATATCCATGTCAGACATTGATTGTTTGCTATAAACAAAGAACAAAACATGGTTACAACGCACGCACCACAACGATTCACAAACGAGCATTTTCACAAGAAAATAAACGAGCAATGTGAACATATTACATACACATATAACTTTTATTAAAGAAATAAGTTATGTTAACCCCCAAAACATACAAGAACAGGGGAAACGTAAAACACAACGTGCATACGCGAACCCCGCAAGTATATAGAAAAAAGGGCGGGAAAATTATAACCAAGCGTAGCTACCGAAACACCCCATAAAAGCACAGTTTATTAGAGAATAAACTATAATAAATATCACCAAATCTTCAAGGAACGCTTCAGCAGGAGAAAACACGTCTTGCTAAGCAGACGAAGGAGACAAGAGTGAAGGGTGTCACATGGCAGCTAGGTGGCTACGCACGTGCTGCATGAGGTAATTGAGATCTCTGTGGTAGATTTCGCTATAGCAGCAGTTGTGGGAGACAACAGCCTCGGTATAACAGTGGTAACGTATTACTTAATGTAATAAAAGACTGTAAAATATGAAACTGATAACAATAAACTGCGCCATTGACAAGAAAACAGAAGACAATGCTCCTGAGCAGAAGATAAGAGAAAACAGCATCAATAAAGATGACAGAACTACAAAGAATCTAACAAACATCAAATCAATAGAAGATTTGAAATCACAGTACCCAGACAGATTTGATACCATAGGCAATTTTCCCGGAACATATCATACGGATCCAGAAGTTAGTCCAGTAGTTCACTCGCCAAGAAAGTGCCCAATTCAGTTGAAAGATGAAATCAAAGAAGAGTTGACAAAGATGGAAAACCAAGGGGTTATCAAAAGAGTTATGGAACCAACAGACTGGGTATCAAGCCTTGTATATTCACGCAAACAAAGCGGTGGATTAAGGATCTGTTTGGACCCAAAAGACTTGAATCTAGCCATAAAAGGGTGTCATCATAAAACACCAACACTAGAAGCGATTACCCATAAATTTGCTGGATCTACTACATTTTCAAAGATGGATACAAAGAATGGATATTGGTCCATACAACTTGATGAGGAGAGCAGCATGCTGACAATATTTCATAGCCCCTTTAAGAGATACAGATTCCTACGAATGCCATTCGGACTTGCTATGTCACAAGACGTGTTCCAACAGAAAATGGATATCATACTAGAGAAATGCCCAGGAACACTCGGAATATCAGATGATGTCGCCGTTCACTGCATAACAGAAGAAGAGCATGATGCCAATCTTGACAACCTCATGAAGACAGCTAAAGAACATGGACTTGTATTCAACAGCCCAAAGTGTGAAATCAAAGTAAAGCAGATCAGCTTTTTTGGCATGGTAAAGATGAGAGAGGAGCTCACCCAGACCCAAAGAAAGTTGAAGACATAAAGTCAATCAAGACACCACAGACCCCAAAAGAATTACAAGAATTCCTTGGCATAGTAAATTACATCAGACCTGCAGCCCCACCAAGATTACAGAGAATGCTTCTACGTCTCCAAAACTATGATGTCAAAATCAGATACAGACCAGGAAATGAAATGTCACTGGCTGATGGGCTATCAAGACTACCAAATAATAAGAATACAAGAGAAATTCACTTGGACGTCAAGGTTAGCCCAGTACAGTTTTCATCAGACAAGCTAACAACGCTAAAGTCATGCACAAGTCAAGACCAAACGCTCAGCGAACTACGAGACATGATTGTTGAAGGATGGCCTAGCACATTCAAAGAAATACCAGGACCAATCCGCCCGTACTGGTGTTACAGAGATGATTTATCAGTTGAAGATGGCCTCATCCCTAAAGGAGAGAGTCATAATTCCCCAAGAAATGCAACATGAAGTACTACAGAAGATACATGCAGGTCACCAAGGTGCAACCAAGTGCAAATTGAGAGCCAGATCATGTGTATTCTGGGATGGAATAAACAAAGATATTGATCAAGCTGTAAAATCATGCCCTACATGCCAAAGGCTTACAAGCTAAAGAAACCCTGATGCCTCATGAGATCCCAACAAGACCATGGAAGATATTAGGTACAGACCTATTTCATCATCATAACAACGAGTTTCTTATCGTCGCAAACTACTACTCAAAGTTTCCAGTCATAAGAAAGTTACCAAAGCCCTGCACCAGTATTGCTGTAATCACAGCTACTAAGAGTATATTTGCAGAACATGGAGTACCAGACAAAATAATCAGCGATAATGGCAGACACTTTGATAGCAAAGATTACAGAAAGTTTGCTGAAGAGTGGTGTTTCGACCACACAACCAGTTCACCACATTACCCCCAGTCAAATGGCTTCATAGAAAGGTCTATCAAGACAGTGAAGAGTACCCTAATAAAGTCTAAAGAAGAACATATGGATCCTTATATGGCGCTGCTGTGTCTAAGGACCACACCAATAGATAATTACCTACCATCACCAGGAGAATTACTCAGCGGTAGAAGATTTAAAAGTAACCTACCATGCAAGATGCACAACAACAAACATGACAGAGACAACATCCAAGATAACCTGAAAATGCGTCAAGACTCACAGAGAATGTATCATGACAGGCAAGCCCACGACTTGCCACCATTAACTGGACAGAGAGTCCCTATTCAAGATCAAACAACAGGACTGTGGACTCCAGGTACTGTCAAGCAGAAGTGCACAGAGCCAAGGTCATACTTAATTGAAACTCCAATATTACACTAGCCAAAGAATTGCAAACAATAATGACTGCCTCGAATATAGGAGACAAACATGTAATGCAATTACAAAATGGCGGGAAACGAGACATGAACAAAAAAAAGACAAAGTCTTTTCATGTGGAAAACATACAGATTATTTAGAAAAGAGAACATAAAATGAAGAGGTATACTTGACCCATTGCCGACAAAATTTAACGGGGCAGTAGAGCGATAACAACAAAATTAAGCCAAAAGTTGAGTAACAAAACAGGGCACAACATGTCTTTTTGGCGACAAGCAGCAATGTGACCAGATGTGATGTCACAACAGACGGTCACATGACAGCGGCAATGGGTCCTTGCAAAAGTAGACCGAAACCGAAATATCATTTTTCCATTGACAACACTTTTCTTTCTCGTATGGTAAGCAGTAGATGCAATAAAAATTGTTTCTTCTTAATAGTTTGAATTACCTGTGCCTGTAAACCCAGTGCTGCCATTTGTGCATTGTACTGTGGCTGCGAGATTCCACCACCAGGTGTGCCGAGGTTGTAGACAGGTGTTGCTGTCACCGAGCCTGCGTTCAGAAGTGCATTCTGGGCCTGAGCTAGAGATGTTGGGGTAACGGTGGTTGGTCCTGTTGCTGATGACATGTACTCTGGGCCAACTGCAAATTCAGAACAAAACCATAAATTGGGCTGGCGCCTTCTCACAAAGCAATCTAATCTAAGGGGTTTAAGGACACATTCAAGATAACATCACTTGTACAGCAACATACATGCACATGTCAAGCTGCTTGTAGTCTAGTGCAGACTTATGTCGGTCTTATAGTCTCCAATTTAATGCAATATTTATTTACATTCATAAAAGAAAAAGCATCATACTGGCGGAAGTTGGTTGCGCATAAAGGTAAACTATCAGTACAGATCACTTGGTAAAGGAGTACTAATTATTTTAAAAAGCGCCCTGTTTTCTCCTGGTAAAGTGTTGGCTAATTAGAATTAGCCTTGCTAAGCTTCAAGCTGGCAACGCAAGTTTGATCCTCTGCGGGATGCTAATTGAAATCCCCCAAAGTGCTCCTGGTTAGATGCAATACACCGAAACTACATTACCTGATGCTGGTCTGGCCCAAGGAGGGTTCTTTGCTCCTCCGAATTGAGATGCCATTTCCTGAAATGAGAAATTAAAATGTGATGCTAACGCCATAAACATGACAAAGGGTGTATGTATATTGTATAGTAATTAGTGTGACTTTATATTATCACGGTATCGTTAAATCTTGTAATCCACATCCCATGTTGACTATTAACTTATGCAAATCTAAGCACAATATTTCATCGCTTGATCGTATACAGGAGTCGTAGTGATATGTCGCGGCTACTCGTAAGTATACACGTTAACTTTTTTATGATGGTTTCTGAGATGTTCTTGAAGTGGAATTACCCCTTCCTCCATTCGAAATTTATTAGAAAAGAACACATTTGTTTAGACGAAGTCCCTTGACCCAACCTAGGTTAAATGCATACTGATTGTGCCTAATCCAAAACAGGAAATGTAAACCACATAGCCTAATCCACATGTATCACACCACAAAAAAAGCCATAGAGTTGCCCGCCCTTGAGTCGCTAATGACAAGTACTTTGTTTACCAAACTCGGTTAAGAAAATCAGCATAGATCAATACTAATTTAGGTGTCATGAAAACTGAAACAAGAAACATTTTGTGTATGAAATATTGAATATGTTAGTAATCATGCGTCATTACGATCAATCATATCCAACTAGATCTACTACTAATATAGCGTAAACCTACTTTCATATGCAAAGATACTCTACCCTATGAAAACAAGAACCTGGAAGAAGAGAGACTGCAAAAGGTGGTTAGTAAATTCATTAGCCTATAGGGATAAACCTTGTTTTATATCTTATACCAACTATTGCTCGTCGTCATTCCTAGTTATCCCCCTTTGGTTGTTATTTGTTCATGATAAACGCAAGCTGCATTTCAACTGACAACAAAGTGCAGAGCCCTGAACACATCTAACATCTGCCGCATTGGTTGGAGCACACAAATGCGCAGTAATGTACAAGTACAAATTACCCGCCAATCTTACAGTTTTTATATTATGCTGTATCTTGCCTGGTGCGAAAAGGCAACATTCTCACATGGCTTCACAAGCTCTCCATTTCATCGACTTCTTCCAACATAGAACATATATCAGGAGTAAAAGTGAGACATGCTTATAAAAATCCACGATCAGATTTTATTCACTTTAAATAAATTCATGATACATCATACGTACGAGGGTATATGCCTGGGAAACTTCAATAATATTGTGTGTTTTCCAGTTCACAATGGCGTTCTGAGAAGTCATACCCGTTGCATGAAAACTGATTACATATATAATGCAAATTACGTTTTAAGAGCTACACAAACTGCAAGAGTTACACTTTATGTAATACCACAATATATATGAGCTTATAAATTGAAAAAGATTAAATGGCGTATCCATAAGAAGTTTATTAATTACGACATATAAAATTAACTTACCTTTAATAGCAATAGTAGTCAGGGAATAGTACTGTTTGTAAAGATGAAATTTACCGTACTTGGTATAAAAATGTTTAAATTTTTGTTTTTCGTTTCACCAATCGAATGACAGAAATGGAGCGAGAGAGAGAACAAACTATTCATTTAAGCAGAGACCATATTATCATATGGTCTTTGATTTAAACATTCCCCTCCACAACCAAATAGTTCCTCCCTAAGGAAACAGAAAGACTATCGTTTTAATTGCTTGCTACTTTAGGAAATGGAAAGGCGATCCATTTAATTACTTGGTTTATGGATATGCCGACCAAGCAACTCTAAAATGTGGAATAAATTATAGTTTTCAGAATGTTCTTGGACTTTAGACCGTTTTCACAGCTGCTATGAGTGTAAAATATCATCTGCTGTGTGAATAGGGGAATCAACACAATTTATGGTGCTGATCGGGTGCAGGTTAAAACGGCACCTCAGCAAAACATCACCGATTTCTCTGGTGAAAACGGCACCGCATTTGGCGAAAACGGCTACTACGTGTCGGGCGAAAACGCCACCTCATTTAATAATGATACGAACGATTTATGTAGTATTATATCTTCTATAGTCTATCAATAGTTGGAGTAGAGGCTTATTTCTAATGTAACGTTGTTTTTCCATTTCACAATTATTGGTGTTTGCAAGTTACCATGTAAGTTTATTTTCATTTATTTGACCAAGGTTAAAAAAAATAAGGTGCCGTTTTCCCCAGGCAATAGTAGCCGTTTTCGCTTGCTGATCACGTGATATTTTGTGAAATACATTTATTTGAATTGATAATAAATAATAGATAAATTTATATTTACAAATTATAATAATAACATTCCGATATGGCAATAACTGTTGACGGCTCAGACTGAGTATATTAGTAATACACCCTCATCTATTCGGTTTGGCTTGGCTTTGACTTATGTTGTGTTAATTATTTAGTGTTCATGAAATCTTAGCCTGCCATCCTATTATTTCACTAGTGTAACTTATTTGGACACCTTTCACGAAAATATTGCAGTGCATACTTTATTGAAAATATAAACAGTAATGTTATTTATTTTTACGGTCAAGCATTGCATAAATTAGAAATGTGTTTTGCTAAATCACCAAATTATGAGATCTCATTTTAGTGGAACTACGGTAAGAGTTGTCTCCCCCTTCGGGGCAGCGGCGCCACTCTACTTCCTTTCAACCGGAATCCATAGCTGCATCTGCTAGGTGTGTTGACATGCTGATAAAATCCACCTTCATCTTTTGAACTAGAATGCGAAGTTATATATCACCAACGTTATTTGGATATAACATTGATGATGGCATTACTTAGCCGTACTATGTTTTTCCTATGACACGTTTATAACTGAATATTTACGTGCTGATGCGGGCGTGTAATGAAGATTGTTTTCGTAGGAATCATTTAATGTGATCAGATCTGTTTAGAGAAAATCCGTAAAGTATGACTACTGCAGCCCGTATATTTCAGCGTTTGTCTCCAGATACGTACTGCATTTCCATATATATGGCCATATTTAGAATAAGCAACTAATATAGCAAGGCAGCAGGCCGAGCATGACACAAGGGTTCCCAAACTGTTTTTATTTGTGTTCGGCCAGTACGAATTCCTATGGACAGTGTTACTATTTATCTAACGCTTTCACTTGTTGTTTGTGCATGATGATAACTTGACACCTCTTATCTGAAATATAGTGAGAGATTGTTTTTTAACTGATGCAAACATCAAGACATAATAGTCTATGGATCTGTTGACCATAGTGTCTATTGAATATCTTCCAGTATGATGCATTATCAGCCCGCTAAGTTCGTTTTTTTTGTTAAGGAGCCAAGCGACTCTTAACATAACGTTCTTAGGAGCAAACCCTTTTTTCCCAAGGAGCAAGACAGTGAATCTGAGATAGGACAAGTTTCCACTGGTTTCATTTGATATGATACCTATGTTTGCAGGGGATTCATTGTGTGAGAATGGGAATTCAGTTGTAATAGACTGGTACATTAAACAATAATGTAAATATTTCATTCTTGCTTGACAATGGTATAAGGATCTATACCGAAACGTCTCTTTTCACAGTATTAAAGAAGTTGTTATCCATAAAATTGTCTGTCTATCTCAGTCAACTTCTAAGATATGCCTATCAAACAATTTAAATATTTCCTTTTGATACAATATCAAGTTTAATTCATGAAAATGCAACATGGTTACAAGTACTGTAGCTCTTTATGAAACCCCTGTAATTGTATTAACTGTAAATAAGTAAACATCATGATCATGATGATGTGAAACATTTTTTATGAATGATGTAGTTATTTGCCATGCAATCCCGACTTGATAAACAAGATTTGCAATTTATATCTTAAACAGATATTGTTGCGAGTTGTTTGCTTTAAGGTAGGCAAGTGGCAAGCAGTAGATAAAATTAAGTCACATTTCGCCACCAAAATGTTGCTACTAAGAGGGCTGATTATACGCAACACCTGTGAAAAATGTTTGTGTGCTTCTAATAAAGTGGGGATAAAGCTCAAAGTACACAGAAAAATTGCTCTGCTTGATCTCCCCCACCCCTGCATTTGTATGGTTTAATATAGTTAAACCTTGAAATTGAATATGAAGGCAATCCTAAACATCAAAATGTTACATTATGGTGTGCAGCAACCACCTCAGTTACATGCATTGGCACACATTTCGACAAACATTCAAATCGATTTACTTTGGCAACTAAAAAGACAATAATTTACAAAAGTAATTACATGGTCTTGTGCATGTTGTGTTGTGCAGCAAACCCGCCTGTTATTTTTGGCGAAATGATTAAGATAAGCAGCTGAAAAACTTAGAAACCGTTATTAAGGAAGGAGATTGTACCGAAAGGGCGGAAGGTATCTGGTATACTGCATGCTGACTCAGTTGTTGATTGATAGTTTCACCCCTAACTGCTCTCAACTTCATAGATCCATCTTCCCGAGGCAAGAGAGTTAACTGACTATAAAAGTCAAGTTTCCATCCTTGCCGAACTAGGCTGGCATTATGGAGTTACATTTTGGCTGGACTAAAGAGTCTATGCATAGCCCAATCAAAATCTCGCAACGAAATCAAAATCCGGTTAGTAAACAGTCGTGCAGATTTTGATCGATTGCAGGATTTGCAAAGCATGTGCACGACCAACTCGTCAACAGATATTTGATACGTGATTTGATGCACTTGGCGATGTAAGACCTGTTTTATCACAATATAGATCTTGATTTTCGATCAGATCGTCTTGACTGGGCGCAGCTGTTTTGTTTGAAACAAATGAAAGTAATACGAGAGGTGGAATGTGATTGGTTGATAGGAGAGGCTTATAAGGGACATTACTCATAATAACCACTGGTGGCGCTACGATCGAGCCCAGGAATTCCAGCCTAGCTCGGCAAGGGTGGAAACTGGACTTCTAAAGTCAGTTAACTCCGTTGCCTCGGGAAGATGCATAGATCTAGCCCCAGTGTAAAACATCTGTCTCATGCACTTTATGTAAAAATCAAAGTGTTTTCAAATTTCTTTGACTTGTTGATGTTTGTGCATGATGAAAATTTGACACCTCTTATCTGAAATATAGTGAGAGATTGTTTTTTTTAACTGATGCAAATGTCAGATGATTAAAATCTAGACCTTTCAGGGTAGGAGAAGTGTTTGCTAAGACTATGTGGTTACAAAAGACATTTTGGGGCCTGTCTTTGATAAAAATACAAGGTACAGTCACTCACCAGTATCTCATTACTGGTTGTAAGAAGTGACGTGCTTTGATCTGGTGGTTAGTGGACTCATGCTTTCTGCCACTGGTTTGCCTGGTGAAGACTTGATTATTTACAGGAACCCTGTCTCTGTGATACTGTGTGCATCTCAGCTCATTCCACAAAGTGACCTTGGCGCTACGGCCCAAGTCAAAGTATGGGAGTTATGATTACCTTAGTGCTAAGATAGCTTTGTTTGACAGGGCCCTTTAATATTGCTGACATTGAATAAGTCGCTGAACCTCGCATCCAGGGATAATTTAGCACTTTTATTTAAGTAACCATTGATTCCACTATTCCTGTTAGTTGTCACCTGTATGTAGAGTAAATCCAAGCTTTGCCACAAAAGCAGAAACTGTTTCCTTTATTGAAACGGTATTGAGATAACCTCGCATCAGGGAATTATATTATGAAATGGAGCATTCTAGTGGGGGCATGACACTTAACCATATTCTGGTAGCAATTTATTGCAATGACATTTTCAATTTTGTAGTATTTCCATCACCATGTTAAATACTCATTTCTGAGATAAAGGTATTGTCCCAACAATGCTTTGGGATACATACACATTCCTGTTCCTAACTTCCTATTCAAGGACTAAAACACAGTGGAGGCTGCCATTATTTAGCTTTATCATGTTTATTTTAACTAATGACAATGCAAACCCCCCACGAAGTGTAATTATTCATTTGTATTTATTTTCTTGCAGAGGCAAGATTCAGCAAAGAAGGATGGTGAGTCTTCACTGTTTAAAATTTATACTCAATAATAGTGTTTGTGAGAAACATTTGTCTGTAAAAACCAAAATGATTACTTGGGAAGATCCGGGGTAGAATAATTCTTCAGCAACCCATGCTTGTTGTAAAAAGGGGACTAACAGAATTGGGTGGTCAGGCTCACTGACTTGGTTGACGCATGTCATTGTATCCCAATTGGGTGGATCGATGCTCATTGGTGCCAATCACTGGACTGTCTGGGCCAGATCCAATTATTTACAAACTGCTGTCATATAGCTGGAATACTGCTGAGTTAAGCATTAGACAACAAACAAAAACAAACAAACTTGGGCACACAGCAATTTTGTCTTTTCACTTTAAACATGATAAATCTTCGGAAATTGATAATCATAATGATTTAATATGATCTAAATCTAAGTTGTTTTCATGCCAACAATGTCTTCTTGATTAAAATTCTTGCATGTGATGCCGATAGTAGCTTCCATGACTCCCAGAAGCTCAGATGTTTTTGCACATGATGAAAACTTGACACCTCTTATCTGAGATACAAAGTGAGAGATTGTTTTTAATCTGAAGCAAACATCAATGTTTCTGCTAATAATGCAAGAAAACTACGGTCTAGCTCCACATGCTCCATGCTTGTCAACTTAATTCATATGTTCATATTTCAGCCTCAGCAGATTTCAGAAATCAAGGACTTTCTCCTAACAGCAAGGAGGAAAGATGCCAAATGTAAGCAAATGTCCAGATTATTGAGGAGGTGATGTGATATCAGTCTGTGACTTTAGCTGCTAGCCAGAGTCTAGAACTAGTCTAGTAATATTTGCAAATAAGTCCATTCATTAACACTAAGATCTACAGAGATTGTCGTGCCAGGTCTGGGCTGGTAGACTCAAAAGTGTTTGGCAGACTGTAATATGCAGCGGTAGAAACTAACAGTTTCAGTCCACTAGTTCTTATAATGATAACATATAGCAAAACCTTTAAAATAAAAATGGCAAATTTCTACTAGTCCTTAGGAAACCTTTACTATTGGGCAGTTTGGGAAGGACTATAAGACTAGTGCCAATTTCTAACCCTGATATGTATGAAAGGATCCGATAGGTTTAAATCCTGTATTTCCCCGTATAAGAATATGATCTTGGTCTTTCCGTACTGCCCACATTTGTTTAACCCAAGTGTTAAGTTTCCTCCCATATTAAGCTGACACATTTTGATATGACTGAAAGACTGTCCAAAACAGCATTTGACTCGAATTCATTTGCTCAATGTCTGAAATAACCCACTGGGTAATTGTGAATTCTTACTTTTCACCAAATTTAGAACATGCTTATGGATATATTTCTTTTCACATTGAGTTTATGGATCGTGTACTTGTAACCTGTAATATCTTTATTTGTCATTCCAGCTGTTAAAATAAAGAAGAACAAGGATAATGTGAAATTCAAGGTGCGATGCAGTCGTTACCTGTACACCCTTGTCATCCAGGACCGAGAAAAGGCTGAGAAACTCCGCCAGTCACTTCCACCAGGTGAGTAACTGGTCCCTCACACATGACCACTTGCTGTAAACTGATGTGGTATTGTTGCAAGAGGTTGTGATCATCACAGGGCATTGTATTGATAGGGGAAGAGACTTTCATTGGTGTTCAGATAGTTAATTATACAATTATTATTGTTATTATTATTATCTTAAATGTTTATACGTACCACATGTATTCAGTACTAGTATCTGCTCAATTGCGGTTTATTTGTTCTTCTACAAGTGGATCCGTTTACATTCCAATTATCATTTTCAACTCCCTTGGGAGTATACAACCCAAGCTGTCTAGGGGCACTAGAGGTTGTTTACATCGACCTCGGATATTGGGTGTGCCCTGTTCAGAAAGTGCTGCCAGTCATGAGTTTCTAGCCATTATCCTAAATGTAATAATTAAGTCCAATTCACAAAATGAAAACAGTACCATTAAAAATTTGTTTTTATAAAACATTGCCCAAACTAAGGCACTTCAATCTCTTAAGCTTAGGATTGTGAATCCAAATTAACCGTGGTTTCCTGGATTTGTCCAGGATTTCAAACTAAGTCCCAGTGGCATGCAGTTTCGAAAGAAAAATGATTTGCTCGAATTGGTTCCTGAAATTGAACACCTGCACAAAGCCATGACATTTTTTATTACTATATGCAGTAATTCCAATTTGGGAATATGTACTGGCATATGCTGCAGACTGAGCAGGCCTGATAAATCCCTGATAAATCCCTGATAAATCCCTGGGTTTGTCAGAAACGTGGGTTTCACATGAACTTCAGCTGACATGCTGTGATATAACTGAAATACTGTTCAGAATGGTGTCAAATGCAACTCACTCACTCCAAGGATCTTTGGCCCCAAAACAAGCAGAATTTTCCAGTTCATCTTGCACATCTTTTTCTATGATTCATATAATCTGAATGGAAATATTTCATGATCAAGCGACCCGTGAAGATTCCGGGGTAGAATAGGTCTTCAGCAACCCATGCTTGCCATAAAAGGTGACTCTGCTTGTCGTAAAAGGCGACTAACGGGATCGGGTGGTCAGGTTCGCTGACTTGGTTGATGCATGTCATCGATCCCAATTGCGTGGATCGATGCTCATGATATTAATCACTGGATTGTCTGGTCCAGACTCGATTATTTACAGACCGCTGTCATATAGCTGGAACATTGCTGAGTGCGGCGTTAAACAACAAGTCAAAGTCATGATCAAGCCTTCCATTGAATTGGAAATTAAAGATTTGTATTTTGTTTTTCAGGTCTGGCAGTGAAAGAACTCAAGTGAAAATGCTGTAAATAAAAACAAGAAAAATCTCAGTGTTTTCTCTGTTTTATCCATTTTTCCTGTAAAGACCCTTCTGAACTTATGGGTGTGTATTGGAATGTTCTGTCACCAGCAGAACAAACCTTTACTTGAATTCACTAAAATCAGAAGTGGAGTCATTAGTATTAATCAGAGCTACAGATAAGTAGAGTATTTGCGTAAAATACCCCCAAAATATTCAACACTCAATGACAGTAAACTACCTTTATAACGAACACACTTGTACCAAACTGAGGGATATTACGAACTGTTTTTGGGTCCCGTCCATTTGCTGCATTTAGGCTGAATATGTGCCTATAACAAACCAAGTTAGTCCCTTTTAGTTCGTTATAACCGTAGTTTACTGTACTTTCAATTGACAGCGTACAGAAACGCATGCATTAAATGAAAAACTCGTACAACATGCCTAAATACCCAATAAAGCCTTTTCAGCATCTGACAAAGGAGCCAATTTCGGAAACAATCAATCCTTTTTATTTAGACCGTTATGTAATCTAAAACATTTCTTTTTTTTTAGTAAATCAAGGAAATGTTCACTAATTTTTGGAAAAAAGACTGGTGATGAAAAGATGAGTGAAAAAATATTGGTCACCCAATGAAAAATGTAATAACCCAATTAAAATAGAAACCTTCGAGTAAAAACTCCAGTTATCTGGAGCTCTGATTCACTGTTATGAAATGTGGATCAGGTATTACTAAAATCAGTGTGTTACTTGAATTGATACCTTAGAAACATGAGTCTTCCAAATACTATTGGGTGTCATGTTAATCAAGTCAGGTTGATTCTGCTTCTACTAAGAGCTTCGTACAACTGGTCACTAGCAAGTGGCGACTGAAATGGATCGTGTTGTCATGTCCTCGGTTGAGTGGGACTTTGCTCTTAATACCAACCACTGGTTTGTCTCTTCCCAATTATTTACAGGCCATAGTGATGCAGTTGTATTATTGCTGACTTGGGCATTAAGCGACACCGTCGCTGCAAGCCAGAATGTTCCAGCACACATCATGCCTGTTTTCAGAGCTGATTATCGTTAGGATCTAATGGACGCAGGGTGTGTGGGTGTCTTTGTACCTGACAGCATGTGTGAGGTTCATGTTTTCGAACACTGTATCACAAGCTTATATACAGATGCCACTGATACACTTTTAATTTCCCGGACGTTTCCGTGAACAGTACATTATGCTGCTGGTGGAGTGGTTCATGGGCTTGCGCACACCTAATACCCGGATTGGATATACCTTTATAGCAGAAAAGGGAAATAATCGTGTATTACGAAGTTTGATTCGAAACAGCAACAAACGGATCCTGGCAGCCGACCATTTGATATTCTTAAGTTGGGGGTTGGGGGCTCATAGTTCTAATAAAAAAATGTATCTTGTTTTTCAGCTATCGCTGAAAAGAAATATCTGGTCTCAGTACAAAAATGCAGGCCCCTTCCACCACCAGAAAATCAAATGGTCGATCCAAAAGGAAGACACGCCTGGGCCCACTTTCACAAAGCGATCCTTGCGCTAAGATGATCGTAACTCCCATACTTTAGCATAGGCTTACAATAGTCTTAGCGCTAAGATCGCTTTGTGCAAGTGGGCCCTAGACCACTGGACATTGGTCTCGAAACCAAGCACAGCAAATTGCAGGGCCGGCTTACAAGAAAGGCTTCAGAAACGATCAGTTAAATGTAAAATTGTTGCAGTATAAAGCACGATTCAGTCCCCACCCCAAGAGAATCCTTTTCCTGAAAACAAATCCAAAGAAAATTTCTTCATAATGTGTAAAAACTTGCATTGTTAATTCATTCGTGATCAACTTAATTAATGCAACTCATTTAAAACGCATTCTGCACGAGAGTTCATTTAAGCTTTCTGTTGTGTTCAGAAAGTTGGCAAATCACATTATGTGGTGACTTGCCATTGTTTACCAATGCTTGAACGAGGGTGCATAAACAATCGTTGCTGTTCGTTGCACTTCGTACTCAATGACTCCGACACGCCCCCTCATGCGGGTAGGCAGGGTGGGTGACCTCATATTGGTCTTTATGGTTTCAAGGTCTGGAAGGAACAATTTAGGCAAATTACAAAATGTCATATTGACGATGAATTCCGAACACACCGTGACGTCATCTTCGATTAGGCATCTGCAAAGAGAGAAAACTTTTTTTCCTGGCTTGACGGAAGATTGAGACCGAATGCATCGGTCACCACTCGCCACTTTTCGCAACCTGCAAGAAGATTGTCCTGGAATGTTTGTTTGTTTGTGTGTTTGTTTGATTAACGCTGCAGTCAGCAATATTCCAGCTGTATGACGGCGGTCTGTAAATAAACGAGTCTGGACCAGACAATCCAGTGATTGACATCATAAGCATCGATCTATGCAATTGGGATACGATGACATGCATCAACCAAATCAGGGAGCCTGACCACCCGATCCTGTTAGTTGACTCTTATGACAAGCTTAGTCGCCTTTTACGACAAGCATGAGTTGCTGAAGACCTATTCTACCCTATCTTTACTGGTCTGTCCCGGAATGACACGACTTGGGCACGAAAGGCCCTTCAGCTGGAATTTGACTAGTTCGACGGTTGATTTGCGCTAGAGCAAGAACCCCGGTTTCCTGTAACCAGTATACTAGTACGGGACGCGAGCTGCGCACCAGCACCAGCACCAGGCCCTGACTCTAAACTCCATTATTGCAGAGAGATGACATCAACTGTTCATTTCATTAGAAATAAACTCAACATAATCACGTGTAAATGTACACTGACAGCAAGAACAGCGGAAAATTTGACTCGGAGTGAATCAAATTCGCAATGTTTAACATGTTTGAAATATGGTGAATATTGCTGTGTACGGCGTTAAACATTAAACAAACAAACAAAACGTACAAGGAATAGAATTTTACATTTAAGAATGATTGACTAACTAATCTGCCAGACTGTTTTTTGGTTGCAACAGTTTTCTGAATATGTGAAATGAGTAATATTGAGACAATGCGTCTCGTTCTCCTATTAAGTATAACATGCATTGTATGCCTGTGTGGCTAGGAGAAAGTCGCATGCATTAGCTGTCTGTCATTGAGATAGTCGCATGCATTGCCTATCAGTCTTTGAGAATATCGCATGCATTGGACGCCTGTCTTGGTGAAAGTCGCTTGCATTGCCTATATCTGTCTTGGAAAAAGTCGCATGCATTGCCTGTCTATCTTGGAGAAGATCGTATCTATTAATATTCCCGTCTGTCTTGGAGAAGTTCGTATCTATTAATATTCCTGTCTGTCTTGGAGAAGTTCGTATCTATTAATATTCCTGTCTGTCTTGGAGAAGTTCGTATCTATTAATATTCCTGTCTGTCTTGGAGGAGTTCGTATCTATTAATATTCCTGTCTGTGTTGGAGAAGATCGTATCTATTAATATTCCTGTCTGTCTTGGAGAATATCGCATGCATTGGACGCCTGTCTTGGTGAAAGTCGCTTGCATTGCCTGTCTATCCTGGAGAATGTCGCATGCGTTACCACTCTACCAGGGGAAAGTCAGGTGTCTACATTTCTCTGACCAAGTCATACAGAATGCCACATCACCTAAGTAGTACTGAATGTTATACATCACTGCAGTGTAATGGTTTGTACTATTGGTGTTGTAAATAGTGTAAGCATCTAGCGCAATTCATTTGTTTATTTGTTTAACGTTACAGCTATATTACGGTAGCCTTGAAATAATCATGTCGGGACCAGACAGTCCAGTGATTGGTGTCGCGTAAACAACGATGAAACACAGAGAGCAACCATATCACTGTGTCTGACCAATCGTTCCATTAAGTAGCCTTTAACGACCAGCGTTACGATTGTCGTAAGTCAGTGTTAAAGAATGGGAGTTACGATCGACTTAGCGCTAAGATCACTTTGTGCCACGGGGCCCAGTATGTGTTGATGGGGATCAATCCTATCTCGGAAATTTATGGTATTACATCGCGTGATACATGTTTGTTTGTTTGTTTGTTGTTCAACGCCGCACTCAGCAATATTACAGCTATATGACGACGGTCTGTAAATAATCGAGTCTGGACCAGACATTCCAGTGATTGACATCATGAGCATCGAGCCTGACCACCCGATACATGTGGAGACGGCTTTGTCAGTCGCTCCTGCGGTTACATGGGACTGTAGTAATAACCGTTCAAGATGATTCAATAGACAAACATGTAGTCCCCGAAATAATGTTATATTCAAATAATTCTATTAAGGAATACTCTAGTCTTATAAAGTGATGAGTAAAGGTATTTTGTGATTTTTCTATAATGATTTATTCATGAAAACATTTTTTTTTTTCAAACGAATAAATTAATTTGTCTGACTGATTATCTAAAGGTTGGACATCTAATCACAATTTCAAAAATATACTTCTTATCATAAAAAGACCCTGACATGTTAAAAAAATTAATTCCTGATCATTTATACTGCACGGTCTCTGTACATACCTACCGTATGTCTACTGTGACAGGGGCGGTCGGGTAGCCTAGTGGTTAAAGCGTTCGCTCGTCACGCCGAAGACCCGGGTTCGATTCCCGACATGGGTACAATGTGTGAAGCCCATTTCTGGTGTCCCCCGCCTTGATATTGCTGGAATATTGCTAAAAGCGGCGTAAACTCAAACTCACTCACTCTACTGTGACAAGGAACTGTGAACATGCGAATTAAGTAACAAATTAACCGTTGTAATATTTGCAATTTTTCTTTTGCTTTAGTGAAATATCTCTCTTCGCTTAATTCCGTGATCAAGGCGAACAATACACAAACAATATATCCCTATTTCAAATTTATCAATACATGTGTTATCTTAACCTAAAACATCTCTTTGGATTGCCATTTGATGGGCGTTTTGTTGTAGTCAAGGTCAAGTAGTCACATCTGCCGGACATCGAAAACTGTCGTATGGAACCACAACATATAAGGGGTCTGTCGACCGGTAATTGCGCGTTCCAACTGTGGAACTGGATAAATTCCAACAGAAGGCAATCGTCACAACTTGCCCTTTCCGAAACCGGCTTGTCACGGAACGGTCACGAATGTCAGAGGTGCCTATCGCAAAACGATCGGATGTTCCGGTGAAAATAGAATTTTTTGCGGGTACGGAAAGGGGCGAGGTTGGCCGTAAGTAGAAGTGGTCCGTCTATGACGTCATAACGAAGATGACGTCATGATTTATTTGATTTACTTCGTCAATATTGATCGTAACATTGAGGGATCCAAAAGGGTGGGTAATCTACAGTGTTCGTTTCCCCTTAATATCACTGTATTGAAGCAGACGCTACAAATATTTTTCGATTTAGACAGAAAAGGCTTACGAAACGCTTCCAAATTTTGGTTAGCTTTGGAGGATGTTGTCATGGCGTTGACGCTATTGTGACGTCATAGACAATTGTCATTCAGCACCCTAGTCGATCTACTGCCACGCTCTACCAAATCACCACTTCCACTGCGTTATTGGTTGTTTGAAACGATATTAACCTACTTTATTGTTTTGGTTGACTGACTGATCAACTTTCGGATGGATTCTAAAAGAAAAAAAGGTAAGAACTATTAAGATTTAGTTGTATGTCATGTTATCGTTCTATATTATCAGCATAATGTAACATCTCTACACTCTTCATGCTTTTGTTTTTAACGTCAACAAATGAAACATATAATACAATATATTATCCTTACATATTGTATATTGAGAACATTTCGGCACCAGTATAGACAATATGTGAAACATTCACTTACGCAACACATGCTAACTAATTTGTGAATCTTCTGTTATCTGACCACTGCCAATTGAACTTGCCCACTTGCACAAAGCGATCTTAGCGTTAAGATAATCGTAACTCCCATACTTTAACATAGGCTTACGATAGTCTTAGCGCAAAGATCGCTTTATGCAAGTGGACCTTGGTCTCCAAGAATGACGAATTTGTATTACTTGTCACGGATGCACTGTGTTATTAAACACAAAGATTTGCGTTTCAATTTAAAACATGTCTTCAATGCAAAATAATTGCAGATTCATTTTGTCATTTTGGTTTATATGAACCGGTATTGCCAATTCACGAATAAGCGTGAACTGGTTTAGCTGTGTTTCTCACTAAAATAGCAATGATATGTACGAATTAAGAATATTGAATTACCGACAATATAAAGACTTAAGTTCTTTTAATTTTCAATGCTTTCTTTTGTCCCTCAATTTATTAAAAATGTTTTGTACAGGACTGATATACATGCAAACGTACTGTGTGACCTAAGATTTTGTGTTGTTTGTTTGTTGTTTAACACCGCACTTAGCAATATTCAAGCTATAAGACGGCGGTCTGTAAATAATTGAGTCTTGACCAGACAATTCAGTGATTGACACCATGAGCATCGATCCACGCAATTAGGATACGATGACCTGCATCAACCAAGTCAGCTAGCCTGGCCACCCGATCCCGTTAGTCGCCTTTTACGGCAAGCATCGTTTGATGAAGACCTATTTGACCCCGGTTCTTCACGGGTAGTGGCGGGGCGTCGGGTAGCCTAGTGGTTAAAGCGTTAGCTCGTCACGCCGAAGACCCGGGTTCGATTCCCGACATGGGTACAATGTGTGAAGCCCATTTGTGGTGTCCCCCGCCGTGATATTGCTGGCATATTGCTAAAAGCGGCGTAAAACCATACTCACTCACTCACTCACTCACGGGTAGTGGCCTAAGAGAAATCAACAAGGCCTTTATGAGTCAGTAGATACTGGGAGAGTCAGTTCAAGGTGAATTCGGACTTTTGTTGATTTAAAAAAATTAATGAATCTGCTAACTTGATCTTTATGAATTAATGATACTGAATTAACCTTGTTGTGAAGAGTTATGTTGTATGTGAAGGATTCATTTTGAGTTATGAGACCAAGTTTCTTATCTAGTGACGAATTTTCTTCCAGGCGTCAACTGTTTCCCGTACCCAGACACAGCCTGGCCCCGAGTATACAACATGGCCGGCACAGACATGCTCCTGTTTGCTGGAAGGATGGTTTTCCATTCCGACCTCCACCTCGCGTCCATTCATTCCGATCTCAGCGTTCCCGAAACATGCACTAGTCCCGTGGATGCCGCCATTATCTGGATGGAAAGACAACTTGACTATGTCCGAAACGGTACGACTTCTAAGTATCACGCCCCTCCATCATTTGATGATATAACTGCGAGAATAAATTTAATTCATTGCTTCCTGTTGAATACTTAACCGATATATCAATTTAAACAATATAAGTATATATTTTTTAATTATTCAACCCTTAGTTAATATTTTCAAGGGAATCTGGGGACATTTTGTTCACGCCCCTCCATCATTTGATATTATAACTGCGAGAATTCATTGTGTTGAATACTTACCCGATATATCAACAATATACATATTTTTTAAAAATTATTCAACCCTTTATTAATATGTTCAAGGGAATCTGGGGACATTTTGTTCACGCCCCTCCATCATTTTATATTATAACTGGGAGAATTCATTGTGTTGAATACTTAACCGATATTTCAATTCAACAACATAAGGTTTTTTTAAAAATTATTCAACCCTTAATTAATATTTTCAAGGGAATCTGGGGACATTTTGTTCACGCCCCCTTATAATTTGATATTATAACTACGAGAATTCATTGTGTTGAATACTAAACCGATACATCAATTTAAACAACATAAATATTTTTTTTTAAATTATTCAACCCTTAATTAATATTTTCAAGGAATCTGGGAACATTTTGTAATTTGATTAAATTATTCCTTCCAGACCTTGAAATCATAAAGAAGACCAGTATGAGGTCATCCACCGGTCCGGTAGCGCCCACCCTGCCTACCCACATGAGGGGGCGTGTCGGGGTCATTGAGTACGAAGTGCAGGAAGCAGAGAGACTGAGACTGGTCCGAGAAAGTAAACAACGTCGTGAGAGAGAAGCTTTGACCCAGGAGAGAGTAGTGACCAGGGAGGAGAGAGACACGAGAGACACTATGTCGGCTGCGGGATGCAGAAAGAGGAAACTGGAGGAGACAATCAACATGGCGGAAACCAGACCGAAGCGATCTCGGAAACCAAACTCCAAATATGGTAGGCACCGGTTTAGTTTTTTAGTCGTTGAAGAAGTGTGGTTCAATGGTTAAGACCAAAGGTTATGTTCAAAGCAATCTCATTAAAATCAGATCTTTGATCTTGCTTCAGCTAAACAAAAGATCTGATTTTTAATGAGATTGGTTTAATCGCTGCATTTTAGGAAATATGAAAAAAACCCTCCGAACATACCGAGTAGACGGTTTATAATAGATTTAAGCCATTTATTCATCATTTAAAATTTTGAAAAACTGACTTTAAAAGAATCTGAATAAAATCAGATAGCTCTCTTGAAACCAGGATAACACGAAACTTTGTTTTGTCAATTTTTCAAACTTAGAAAAAAACTATTGTTTTCGATGCACATGTTTCTCTCTTGCAGACAGTGGCACCTTCCTCGTCCACAACGGATCGGGCGGCTCCCACCCATCCTCCAACATCGCCAACAGACTGAGGAGCAGGAGGACGGTGAAACGTGGTCCCTAGGTTAGTACAGGACATTATCAATATCTACATTTCGTGCTGAATAAATGAGTTCGTTGGTTGGTTTGTTTGTTGTCTAACGCCGCACTCAGCAATATTCCAGCTATATGAAGACGGTCTGTAAATAATCAAGTCTGGACCAGACATTCGATCCACGCAATTGGGATCGATGACATGCATCAACCAAGTCAGCGAGCCTGACCCCCCTATCCCGTTAGTCGCCTCTTACGACAAGCATAGTCGCCTTTTACGGCAAGCATGGGTTGCTGAAGACCTACTCTACCTCGAATCTTCATGAATAAATGAGAGTCGGTTTTATGCTGGTAATGTAATCAACGTTTTTTAGTGCTATTATTGTTAATCATCTTGTAGTAATTGATGATTTCATTGTAGGTTGCAAATTAACTATTCAGAACAAACCAAACCACTCGTATAGTGTCTTCACTGGCATTGCGTCAAAGTAAGAATGCGTCCCTTCCTTAATTGTGACGTTTATTTTTTTCGACGATTTTTTTATAATGCTACGGAGACGTTTCAATTTTTATTTCATTTCTTAATTCATTGGATAGTATTTACAAATATTATTTAATACCATATATTCATTCAGAATTTAATGTTTCTTTTCTTTTGTTTTCAGAAGGTGGCTGCAGCCTAAAGTTACAGCCTGGCTATTATTACATGGAGATTCACGATATAGTGTTTAATACGTCAGAGTACTTACATTGATCTGTGATTGCTTGGGAAGTCTTGTACAACTTTCTGACTTTTTACTTAAATTGGTTATATTTTATTTTATTTTTACATTGCAGTTTTGTTATTTTTACAATAAATTGTTATGACGTTTACCATATGGCTGTGTTGTAATTGTCAATACACGATACAGGAACGTTTATTGACTGGGGGCCTGATAACTCCCCACATGAATTCTGTTTGTGAAGCGCATACTTTGTGTATTGGCTGTGAAGTGTTGGGGTACATACCCAAGAGAGATTGATAAAGTGAAACCTGTTTTAGAGGAAATACGGTAGAGAGACTCGGATGTGTGATGTGACTCCCCCTACGCTTATTGGGGATTCAAACATTTAACGGCTGATCAAGACAATGCTTAGTTTTCAGTTGACAGCTTAACTCAGTAATGGTAAATTCCCGGACTGCATTTTAGTCTGTGAATGTTGGTATTTGGTAACGCAGTCTATCTATCTTAGTATGGTCTCAATCACTGGACCCAACGTGTTGTATTTACAGGCTGCAAGATTTCTGACTGCATTTTCACTCACTCACTCAATGTTAGTGTTACGTACATCCACTCAAAGAAGTATAGACGTTGATCCACTTTATGGGGAAATGTCTGGCTATGGGGGCCGTTGTACAGACCAATGGTAGCGCTAAGGTTATCGTAACTCCCAAACCTTAACATAGTGAGTTAGTGAGTTGGGTTTAACGCCGCTTTTAACAGTATTCCAGTTATATCACGGCGTGCCAGCTTAATGTGGGAGGAAAGCCCGAAGTGATGCAGGTCTCAGACGTTTACCACTTTGGTGAAACCCACGAGCACGGGTATGGTGCTGACAAACCTGGAAACATAATCGGGGCGAACCGGGATTCGAACCCAAAATCATAGGTTTCTGGTATGTCTAAGGGATGCAACTCTGCACAATGAATTGCGGCGCCTTAGACGACTGGGCAACCCGTGCCCCCACAGTAGAGACAGACTTACGACAGTCGTAGCGCTAAGGTTGTTTTGTACAACGGCACCGTGATCAGAATAGGCAGCACACTTCCGCTTGAGGAGGATACACGGGAGAAGAAAAAACGTTCTAGTCCAAAGTGTAAGAAAACTACCAAGGAACTTGTCCAAGTCCATCTTGAATAGTGGTGTGTGAGGGCAGAGGTCTGTAGGTTCGAGAAAGGTACGATTTAAATAATACCCAATAAGAACTACCCCCTACTATTTTCCGATTTAAAACGATGTTAAGTTACCCGGAGAGCGGAAGGTCATGGGTTCAATTTTCGGCCGCGTCATTACAAAATACGTTAAAAGATGGTACTTGTTGTTACCCTGCCTGGCGATCGGCATTAAGGGGATAAACAAAGGACTAAGTCAGTATTTTGTGTCTGAGCAGGGTATGTCAAACTTATGTTAAACTGCGGCATGGTGTCTCGGTGGACTAGCTCTATGAAATCTGCCTCGTACAAGTACACCCCCCCCCCCCCCCCCCCCCCCCCCCCCGATTCCCTAAATAATGCTGCATGTATTAACGAGGTAAAATATTAAACGTCATACACATGTAGTTAATTTGTATCAGGCTGCAAAACATATCAAGTATTGAACAGCTCTGTCGCGAATGTTTCCCTCAGCCTAAGATATACTAATCAAACGTAACTGAAGATTCTTTCTTCTTTCACCGATATCAAGCTGGACAACATCTTGTCACCACGTGTCATGTATATACCTCTCATTACATGGCTGCAGTCACTCCAGCTTGATAGCACAATGTTGCTGAAGCTACGCCAAACTAACACTGATGCCCTGCAACGCAGCACACGGCCAACCAGCAACCTTTACGTACAGATATGATTGGTTGGTTGGTTGTTTAACGCCGTGATATTCCAGCTATATAACGACGGTCTGTAAATAATCGAGTCTGGACCAGACAATCCAGTGATTGATCCAATTGAGCATGGATCCACGCAATTGGGATCGATGACATGCATCAACCAAGTCAGCGAGCCTGACCACCCGATCCCGTTAGTCGCCTTTTACGACAAGCATAGTCGCCCTTTACGGCAAGCATGGGTTGCTGAAGACCTATTCTACCCCTGATCTTCACGGGTCGTACAGATATGAACCATATACTCTTTATAAGGTCTTTTGCATAAATAATCGCAATTTTAGCGATGACCGTGGCGACTCAGACGAGTGTGTCTTGGGGCCGACGGGGTTCGGGGGCAGATCAGGCAACGGTGCTGAAAGATAAGGGATTACGTTTATCGTGATATGCCGATTGTCGGATACCGGCGCCCCCGGCAGATACAGCGAGGTGATGATAATGATGGAGGGCGGTTAGACCTCTTGCACAGGGTCCAGCATATTTCGTACAGTCATAGCCGACCACTTTATATTGGTCGTGTTGGCGGTGTCAGTGCTTCAAAACATTCAACATCTTTTCCCCCCACAACTAAGCTGCAGTCTCTGCCCCTTAATCTTCCACGAATATGAAACGGTCGACCCCGATTTTCCACACCTGAATTACTTCTGGCTTTCGCGATAATGCTTGTCGAAAGAGGCGACTAACGGGATCGGGTTGTCAGGCTAGCTGACATGGTTGATGCTTGTCATCGTATCCCAATTGCGCGGATCGATGCTCATGATGTCAATCACTACGTTGTCTGGTTCAGACTCGATTATTTACGGACCGCCGCCACATAGCTGGAATATTGCTGAGTGCGGCGTTAAACAATAATCAAACAAGTTTTGGCTATCCGCCGCGATATCACAGGAATACTTTTCAAAGCGCCGTTAAACCAAACTCACCCACTCAGTCACCGTTTACTAGGGCTTTCCTAGCATGAAACGCCATTGTTCCCTGAGAATATCCGGGTTACAATTGGTCTTCGGCAACTCATGCTTGTCGTAAGAGGCGCCTAACGGGATCGGGTGGTCGGGCTCTCTGACTTGGTTGATGCATGTCATCGATCCCAATTGTGTGCAGTGGCCCAGTCGTCTAAGGCGCCGCGATTCGTTGTGCAGAGTTGCATCCCTTGGGCACTCCAGAAACCTATGATTGCGGGTTCGAATCCCTGTTCGCCCCGATTGTAACTAGTTTTGTCAGCACCATACCTGTGCTCGTGGGTTTCATCGAAGTTGTAAACGCCTGAGACCTGCATCACTTTCGGGCTTTCCTCCCACATTAAGCCGACACGCCGTGATATAACTGGAATACTGTTAAAAGCGGCGTGAAACCCAACTCACTCACTAACTCACTATGTTAAGTATGAGAGTTAGATCGTCTTAGTACTACGAGTGCTTCGTGGTATATTTTTATATTAAAAGGGAGGATGGACGATTTGTCCGGGTAAAGGTTGACTTGTACACGCGTACTGTATCATTGTTTAATAATTACTTCTATGTATATGTATAAAGTATGATATATCTTTTCAAAATAAATTGTGAACTTTATGTTTATTTAACTGTTACGTAAAAGTGGTCCTGCACATGTTCACCACGGTGACATCTAGATTAACATTCGTTTTGTAGCCGACATCACAACTGAACTAAAACAAATCATCGGTCCCAAGTACCTGTTGGCGTGTTTAGTCTCTCGTATTATACTGCATCGTTGTCTCACCCACTCATCTATGGAATCCTAGAAGGGATATTGTCGCCTTGTCGCGCTATCAAAAACAAACAAAAAGTGTCAAATGTAACCAACACGCGAGAATGCGACTTAGTTATTTTACTAAATTTCACTAGATAAGATTTCTTGATGATATATTGTACACAGCTCCATAGAATGAATAATATGCGCCCGGTCGGAACAAGAAACAAGGAGAAGAGTTTGTCATGGAACAAGGAGTTCGGTATAACGAGGCGACACCGTATACGTCATTGTGCACCGGATTGTGACACCATTATGTGTCTAGTGAGTAGTGTTTTAAGCCGCTTTTAGCAATATTCCAGTCATAAATATCACATCGAGGTACGCCAAATATTCACTTCACACACTGTACTTTGTGGTAATTCGAACACGGGATTTCGGCGTGACGAACGCACGCTTTCGACAAGCATCAGGCACCGATTCTTCCCTAAAATGGAAAATAAATACGCTAGGTGTTTAAGTTTCACTTTAATACTTTTCATAGCAACGTTTTTATGTACACTCACTTGATTGTTTACGAGTATAGAGTCAGAATGGCATAGTGAAGTTTCCATGTTAAACTGCGACATGGCTTCTCAGAGGGGTAGCGCTATAAAACCGGCATTTTCCTGACTCGTTTAAGCGGCCACACCCACATCCACTAACCCACCAACCTACACACCCACACAAACGCCCGCACACACAATCCGCTGTGTAAGTGAAATAATCTTGAGCGCGATGTTAAATCCCATCTCACCTCACCTCATAATGAGAACACGAGTCCTAATGCACGCCGTTGTGACCATCCAATCCCCAACTTACTCATCTGTTACTGTATCTACAGTCACCCCGAACCTCTAACCCCGACCTGTCTAGATTTAGCGTAATAACATTCGTAGAATGTTGTTTCCTATGAGACAAATAACATTAACCGTTATACAACATGATGACAGGCATGGTTATCAGTTACACCTCATTAACTCCAGGTAAGAATTATGAAGTAAACAACCGTTATCTCGCCTCTTTGCATCATGAGGTCCTAGCGTTACGTCATGCCATGGGCTAATTACGACGGACAGCTTAAATAGCCGGCCCTTGCCGTGTTACTACAGTAAACGCACCGGGACACATCAGGTAGGTCCGAGAGCATATAGTGTGATGGCTTTATTTGGACAATTTTGTAAATTGTAACAACGCGTTATGAAATGTATCTAAATGACTGTTATCAAGGGAGTATGTTGTGTGAACTTTATTCTCTAACATTTACCGTTTCAAACGACTTGTAAGAGGCGACTAATGGGATAGGGTGTTCAGGCTCGCTGACTTGGTTGATGCATGTCATCGTACCAAAATTGCGTGGATCGATGCTCATGATGTCAATCACTGGATTGTCTGGTCCAAACTCGATTATTTACAAACCTCCGTCATATAGCTGGAATATTGCTGAGTGAGGCGTAATGCAACAAACAAACAAACTTTATTTTCGTCTGTCTAGGATTAGAACATTCAAAATGGCGACTTCATTCTTCTGTGTCATTTTTCTTTCAACATTTTTATCGGACAACTTTCCACGGCGTGATTCTTGCAATTCTCATTTAACTAGGTGACATACTAGTATACGACAGTAAGTCTGTTGTTTGAGGCAAAGATTTTTCCTCCCCTGAAGTTGGCACGCCGTGTGTATTACATAAGAGTTTAAGGCAACGTTCATAAAACTCAATCACAATATGAGTCTACCAAACTTTATGAAAAAGTATCTATATCTGTATACAACCGATGAAGCAACGACTCATTCATGCTGTCTGCTTCATACCAGTAATTAAACACCACCCATCTTCAACAACGTCACCGCCATGGTTCCGTCAGTCAAGGTCATCGGGACGGCACTGGTCTTCCTGTGTGTGGCGTTAGAGAGTGCCCGCAGCAACTGTGAGTAAACTATACCAACGTGTTCAAAGAAAAGAGGCATTGAGTGAGCATGAACATGTGCGTGTGCGTGTGCGTGTGCGTGTGCGTGTGTGTGCGTGCCTGTGTACGTATCAAGGTCTTAGGGACGGTCCTGAACGAACACGATTCGTTGTTTGGAAAGTCGGTCTCCTTTGCCTTTATCAGTACCGTGCTAAAAATTACTTCTACTACTACTACTACTACTACTACTACTTCTACTACTGCTGCTGCTACTACTACTAATAATAATAATAATCGTAGCAGAATACATAGAGGATATTGGGGTCACAGGTGGCCCAGTCCTCTAAGGCGCCGCAATTCGCTGTGCAGAGTTGCGTCCCTTGGGCACACCAGGAACCTATGATTGTGGGTTCGAATCCCGGTTCGCCTCGATTATGTGTCTAGGTTTGTCAGCACCATACCCGTGCTCGTGGGTTTCATCGAAGTGGTAAACGTCTGAGACCTGCATCGCTTCGGGCTTTCCTCCCACATTAAGCTGACACGCCGCGATATAACTGTAATACTGTTAAAAGCGGCGTTAAACCCAACTCACTCACTCAAATAAAGGATATTAGTCCTACTTTGTCAATACCTTCTTTAGCTCATCGAGTGACCAACAAAGTTGATGTTCACATGTTTTCGTTAAAAAGTTTTCTGCCGCTATCAACTATACTGACTTACGCTGACTCACAACCATCGCTTTTGTTCCCTCAGATTGTAACGTGGCCATCAACACCGACATCGTCATCGCCATCCACGACAGTGCATCAACGATGCAGTCGTTTTGGGGAGGGTTAGTTATCTCCCCTGGTTTAGCCAACTTTCTCCGCTCATTCGTCACTCTCTTCGACTTGACCAAGGTCCGGATCTCGCTGGTTGCATACGGTACAACGACACGTGAACTCACCGGCTTCACAAACCAGCCACAAACGCTGCAGACCGCGTTACGATGGAGGCCGGAATTCGGAGCAGCAAGAACCTATGACGCTGTCCGCTTCATCAGCAACCAATTCAGAGCAAACGCCCGCCCAAACACAGCCAAACTCGCAATCTTCCTCACCAACAGAGCGTCTGATAATTATATAGCTACAGTGTCCGAGAGCATCCAGTTGAGGGCGGAGGAAGTTGCTGTCATCGGCGTGGCTTTCGGACAGAGTCCTACCAGAGAGTTGGTCATGATGGCGGGAGGGAACGGCCAACAAGTCGTCTCCACGACATCAGATTACCTTCTGATACAACAAAGCCCAAGGATCAAGAGGACCATCTGTTATCGTGAGTAGGACGTTAGGGAGGAACACAGTCTGTTGACCACTTCTAGACTTTTTAAACCAGCAAGCCATTAAGTTCAACTGTCAACATGACACAGGGGGGCACGGGTGACTAAGTGGCATGCCAGACACTGTTATCGTGGTTCGAATCCCAGTTCGCCCTGATTATGTTTCTTGCTTTGTTAGCACTATACCCGTGGTAAACGTCTGAAACCTGCATCACTTCGGGCTCTCCCACATCAAGCTGACACGCCGTGCTACTAAAATACTGTTCAAAGCGGCGTTAATTAAATTCAACTCCCTCTATCACACTACTATCATAGGAACCCGAAGCTCTGATCAAAGTAATGCTATTTTATGCCTTTTGAATATATATATATATATAAACTTGAATCCCTCTCCGAAACAGCAAATGGGCTCATTATGAATACACGTACATGTGTTACAGTCAATGTGTAAAATGACTGAAATTTTTACTTAAGCACTTTACCAAACGTCAAACTATTTCAGTCATTTTACAATTATTTTTCCATGTATTATGATAACGAATTCCAAACATTTTATTTCATCACCCAGTGACAGAAAATGATACGATTAAAAGAAAACGAAAGTCAATGTATTTCTTAATATATATTTTTCGGCTTCTATTCCTTTGTAGTAAGTGACTTTTTATGCGTGTTTATATAAACAAGCTTCGTTTTTTATAGTTGTTCAGCTGTACCAGCAAATATTGGCGAGACGACCCACTACAACTTCGACGGTCACTCCACTCTGTAAGTATTGGGCTCTGACGTCATGTCGTTTGTATTCCAGTTGTGGAGACCGCCTCCGTGGTCTAGTGGTAGAGCGGAAGGTCCGGGGTTCGATCCCCGACCGCGCCATACCAAAAGACGTTAAAAGATGGTACTTGTTGTTACCCTGTCTGGCGCTCGGCATTAAGGGGCTAAAACAAGTCGGCTCGGAGTCAGTATACTGTGTCTGAGTGGGGTATTCATGTTAAACTGCGGCATGGTATCTCAATGTGCTAGCACTATAAATCGGCATCAGTCCGCAGCCACACAAACACACACACGTACATGCACGTAGCTATATAAGTGCAATAATCTTGGACGCGACGTTAAACCCCATTTCACCTCACCTCACCCGTGGAAAAGGACAACCGACGAGCACACGCTGGGCGCTACAATGCGCTGCAATTCTGCGCAGACATGTTGCCAGGACATGCTGGTCGATTCCACATTCGTCCTTGATTCTAGTTTGTCTTCGGTGGGGTAGCCTTGTTAATGAAGCAGTTGCTCGCCACGCTGAAGACCAGGGTCCGATGCCAATTGGGGACAATGTGTGAAGCGCATTTCTGGTCTCCCGACGGAACACTGCGTTAATCAATACTCACTCACTGACTCTCGTTGGGTTTTCCACTCATAAGAAGTCGGCACGCCGTGATAACTGAAATACTGTTTAAAATGGCTTTAAACATAACTCACTCACTCGAGGAGAAAGCTCTCTAATACTGGCGTGATCAGCTGACACAACTTATCAGCTATATCAGGACAACCTGGTATTTGGACAAAATGTGCTTGTTAATGGTGATTCTGATACAATATTGATGCACTTACACAAACAAGCATTGCTTTTGGGGCTCTGTGACCTAGTGGTGTAAGAGGCTGTAATTTGCCGTGCGGAGTTGCGTTCCGTATCCATGCCAGGATCTGATGATAGCTGATTCGATGATACTTGATTTTTCTCACCTTCTATTACCCATCCTTGCTTAAAGCGTCATCAAACTGAGCTCACTGTCCCTGAATCGTTTTGGGATTAATAATTTAATAAATACTCCTATAATCCGTGTTTCAGCTGTCGTGTCAAACATCATGCTGGTGTTAGACCACTCAGACAGTACCAGACGTTTTTCGGGCCTCACCTTCACCTGGGCATCTGCTCTTTCCAACTTTGCCAATGCATTTGCCAATCGTATAGCTCCCGCTAACGGAGCCTGTACCATCGGACTCACAACGTTTTCCGACACGGCGACAACACGACAACAACTTACAGGTGACGCGACCACCTTCACGAACGCAGTGAATACCGTAGCAGGTGACAGCACCATCACCTTCGCCGGATCCAACATCGCAGGTGCCATTACCCAGGCTGCCAATGAACTTACGAACAACGGCAACGCAGGAGCTCAGAAAGTGATTTACGTCGTTGTTGACGGGTCTCCGAACGATGCAGCCGCCGTGGAAGCTGCTGCCCAAGCCGCCGCCGCTGCTGGCATCACCGTATACGCTGTCTCTTTGCAGACGCTGAGTGGCCTGGCGGTGACACAGGCGACTCTCGACTCCATCGCACAGGATCCTGTCCGGACATTCCCGAATCGGGACGACGCAAATCTTGTAGATTTGACAACGAGTCTTCCTACCGCAATCTGTCCCCCTGTCCTCTAGTAATGAAACGGGGACGTGTGTTTCTCACATTAAGATCATTGGTGATCTACGGTGTCGGGTTAATTTATTGCCCATAGAATACGGGTTAGGGTCAGCGTTATTGTGAAGTCTCCCTGATACGTTAATGCTCACTTTAACTTCTTTGGGTGTTGGTCGTCTTAATTAAGTTTAAATCACGATACGGATCTTGGTACTTGGATTACGACTTACGACTTTTATGGACTATGAACACTTTCTGTAAATGTCACATCAACATTGCCAGTTTATCGACCCCTAATTATCATCTGTCTTGACTATCAGTAGTCTTGCGCGATTTTGATGTCAACTAAAGATATTTTAAATGGTGTTTTGATGTATTGTTATCGGGTCATGGCTAATTGCAACAGTGTTTGCACATGGAGGGCACGGATCTAGCTTATTGTGATGCATGTGTTGAATGTAAATATTTATTTTCATTTAATCATCTATGTCATGTAATTTATGAAAGATGAATACATTGTTTAGAATCAATAAATGATTGCCATTTTGTCTTAATTTTGTGTTTTTGTATAGAAACGTCTGGAATAATGTTTATTGTATTCACTGTTATTGTTGTCTCATGGTGTTTACACAATACAATTTGGTAACAGTTAAATGCAACGGCTGTGCTGCTACGAACAAGCGGGACAGAATTTCAATAAGTTAAACATCATAATTATTATTTAAAAGATGCTGGCTTTCACGACATCCTTGAACTAGAAGAGAACATGATTTCACATGATCCAAATGTGCACGATTGAAATGTTTGTATAATATATCTTGGTCCAGTCGTCTAAGGCGCCGCGTTTCGCCATCAAGAGACACGCCCCTTTTGTGTACCCGAGACTTGTGATGGTTGTTTCGCATTCCGGTTCGCCCTGATTATGTTTGTTGGTTTGTCAGCACCATACCCGTGCTCATGGGTTTCCAAAGGTGGTAAACATCCAGGACCTGCATCGCAACAGGTTTCCTCTATCACCAAGCCGATACGCCCTGATATGACAGACACAGCGTACATAGTGGCGTCAAACCCAACTCACTCACTCTTTCAGCAAGTCAGTCGTGTTAAATGATGTTCCATATCACACGTCATTACGGGCCTTGACTTCGCATACCGCGTCATCTTATGTAGTTTATATATATTCGGAAATAAGCCCTACTCCTTTTATTGGCGATACAGATACTAATGTACAGTAATTATAACGAACGTGCTTATAACGAACTGACGGATATAACGAACTTATTTTTAGTCTCGGCCATTGCGAATATATATATATATATATATATATATATATATATATATATATATATATATATATATATGCTTACAACGAACTCCGGTTATAACGAACTGAAATTAGTAGTCACTTTGAGTTCGTTATTACCGTAGTTTACTGTATGCCATTAAACACAAGAATATTTCCAAAATCTGTTGAAAACATTCTTGAACATATGAAAGTAGGAACTGTCGAAACGAAATAAAGGACCCAGTCAAGAAGGAAAGCGAGTATTCGGCACAACTGTTTGAGAGTGCAATCATCTGCAAAATTCACCTCATTACGATGTCATAAAGTTAAAGGTCACCAAGACGTATTGTAAGGCTGAACATCATACGGTAGAGCTGAAATAACTGGTTCACGAGGTCATGACTTGCACTTCCCATACAGCATCCCAGCAAGATTTGCTGATAGGGGAATGTAACAAACAACAGTAACAATCAGTAACACATATTTCCTACAGCAATAAGATAAAGAGGATTGGATTAAAACAATACACAATTATTCTATTTTGGTGTTATTCACAGTTAGCAACGGAACGACGTTTTCTTAAAATATAAAATCATACAAGTAGTCATTTATTTACTCAATCTTAAGGCGATGTTCTTGTAACTATCGGATTTTTTGGTCCCCCGATCACCTAAATGTCTGGCTTGTTTACAGGCCGCCGTCAGGTGTACTGCTGCGCGGCGTCAGACAATACATTTTACCTTCTTTATGAATTTGCGTGGATGGCGTGAACTATCAGCAGGGCAGGACATGCTTGTTCTTTTCGCGAACAGCTTGTGTCTTCACTGATATTTAGTGGTACATTCATATGACTGTCCCAGCTATTTTGCCGCTATTGTACCGCTGTTGGTGGTTTAAGGAGAAAAAGAGATGATGTACAACACAGTATTTTTATTCATTTCTGATACAAATTTGTTGATTCGGGCCTTCATTTTTGTAAACAAATGTGAAACATTTCAGAACCTTATCTCCTACACTACTACAACGTACATCCCACCTGCATGTTACGTACAAGCCATGTCTCCGGGCGGTGTTTATCATCTTAATTATATTAATCTGTTCTAATCAACATGAAGTGACATCGTTCTTGCTTACGCTCGATTTGCGGAATTGGGACAGCGCTGGATGTTTGACCTCAGTCCAGTTCGATCTTGACCCCCGGGCAGTGGCCACTTGGCTATATCAGATGGAACAGTGGAAGCGTTATCATTCTCGTCTGTCCATAGTCTGTACTGCGTCCACAGAGAGAGCATTGTATGTTTGTTTAATTTTTTTAACGTACACCATTTTCAGCAAGGTCTGTCTCGGTGGATTTACCGTCAAATGTCCAAAACTGAGTTAGGCTTGAGTGCCATTTAAGTGTGGTTCTACCATTGCGACTAAAGGCTATTTATTTTGATTAGAATAATTTGATTAAGATGTTTTAGATATCTGTTTGTTCCCTTGTAGACATTCACGTATTATTGCTCGCTCCATGACAGATGGAGGTCCTGATGTCGTCTGCTCGCCTTCATCTCGTCTGCCTGGTCGTGTGTTTCCTGTTGGGGGGAAATGCCTCCGCTTCACGTGAGTAATCGGGACTGAAACACTTCTTTAATGGAGAAATATATTTGAAAAGGACAAATGCTATCTTACAGAGTGTCCGTATACTCAGATATATATATATATACATGGTTGCACTACCCAGGTGTCGGTTTATACAAGTGCTGAACTAATTAATATCAGACAGGTTTTACTATTTTACTTTTAGTATTGGTGTGTCATGTTTTCTGAGACCAAAACCATCGAACGTGATCTACACACACCACTGATAAACATCGACAACTTTTGATTAATTCAAATGATGTCGAATGAACGATTTCTGGATGAACATCATGCGATACGTTCATAAATATAAACAATCAACGCAAAAGAATAATGATCAACTAAAACATATTGCATTGGGCGTAAAAGACAAAATAAGGGGGGGGGGTTTAAATGAATGGACCCCTGAAACTAAGCACATGCAAAATGTCTGTGCGGGCATATTGGCTTCAGAGGATGATGTCTTGTATATTGAAATAGAACTGACAACTCTGAAGATAAAGTACATTACCGTATTTAGGTATCGTGTCATACAGAACACTTTCATTGACCACAACTGTATAATTAACATGTGGCTTTATTCGATGACGTTTTCAGCATGTTCACTGGCCATCGACACCGACGTCGTGATTGCCGTTGCCGACTCCAAGGCGACCATGTATCACAGTTGGGGAGGAATCGTCCTCTCCCCGGGGCTTGTCCACTTCCTGAAAACATTCGTATCACAGTGTGACTACAGTAAAGTCCGAATATCCATTGTCGCAGTCAGCAACACCGTCAGGCTCCTTGCGCCATTTACCAACAACCCAAACGACCTTCACCTTGCCATTCAGTCTTGGAGACCGCAGTTTAAGGGAGCAAAACGCTCTCTAGCTCTGAGGTCCATCAGATCGTACTTCAAGACAGACGCTCGTCCAAAAGCCGCCCGCATCGTCATTGACGTCACCCCACAGCAATCCGAAAACTACTTCGCCACACTGTCTGAGAGCCTGCAGCTGAGGGCGGATCACGTCGCTATCATTGGCGTCGGTTACGGTCGTTACGCCCCCTCTCAAGAGTTGATGGCAATGACCGGAAGTCGTAATCGAGTCTTAATAACGGCCAACGATTACTTCCTTATTTACTTCGTGAAGCCAATTAAGCAACTTATTTGTACACGTGAGTAAAACAGAATTATCAGATCGTGAAAAATAACGTCCATATTACCAACCGAATTAACGGTTAAGATATATAGCTGAAAATGTAAATAATGACATAAAACTAAATTGAAACTATACGCCCGTAATTTTATTCATATTTTCTTTGACAGTGAGCCAGGCATTTCAGAACAATTTGACCAAAGGTATGTACTTTTTTTCACAATACTGGATACCATAAAAATTTCATACCGGAAACGGAATGAAAACTACATCCGAAAATCAATACCCCGAGGTGTTCAATTTACATGTCGCAATTCTCCATAGATAACAGTGAGTGAGTGAGTGAGTTGAGTTTTACGCCGCTTTTAACAGTATTCCAGTTATATCACGGCGTGTCAACTTAATGTGGGAGGAAAGCCCGAAGTGATGCAGGTCTCAGACGTTTACCACTTCGGTGAAACCCACGAGCACGGGTATGGTGCTGCCAAACCTAGAAACATAATCGGGGCGAACCGGGATTCGAACCCACAATCATAGGTTTCTGGCGTGCCCTAGGGACGCAACTCTGCACAGCGAATCGCGGCGCCTTTAGACGACTGGGCCACCCGTGCCCCCCCATAGATAACAAGGTGCGTGAACACCACCCTTCATCCCCAGTTATATAAAAGGTCTAGATATCTTAATAGTAATTATTTGATAAAGAAAAGAAAAAATCAATTTCTAAACGACGTGTAACGCTTTCTATTCCTATTCATTTTGTAGTTTCATTAACTACCTCTACCGCGACTACAACGACACCCACAACAACTACAACGCAAACAACAACGACTACGGCTGTGATGGTTATGACTACGCTGGTTGATGAGGCAACGACTACCGCCGGTAGATACATTACTTTATCAGTCAAACTGCTATCTTTTCAGTCATACATTAGACAGGTTATAAAAAACAGATGTGTTCTGTCAATTTTGATTACAATATTTTACCAACTAATCAAAGGCATTATAAGACAATATTTCACCCATGTACCGTTAGGTCTGAAGCTCTGGAACCATACGCAGCACCAAGAGTTTTAAATGCTTTCTTTTAAGTGGGAAAAAATTAAGTGAGTGAATAGTGTTTTATGTCGCCGTCGTCCATACTCCAGCTTTATTTTCCCCGTAGAATAGAATTGCAGTTGTATTGTCATTGTCAATTGTCAACCCATCGAGGCCTATTCTGACCCGTAATCGCCACGAGGTTTGGTTTTTAAAGGTTGGTTGGTTGGTTGGTTGGTTGGTTTGTTGTTCAACGCCGCACTCAGCAATATTCCAGCTGTATGACGGCGGTCTGTAAATAATCGACTCTGGACCAGACAATCCAGGGATTGATATCAAGAGCATCGATCCACGCAATTGGGATCGATGACATGCATCAACCAAGTCAGCGAGCCTGACCAACCGATCCCGTTAGTCGCCTTTTACGACAAGCGTAGTCACCTTTTACGGTAAGCAAGGGTTGCTGAAGACCTATTCTATCCCGGAATCTTCACGGGTCGGTTTTTAAAGGAGGAGGGAGGGGTTGTTTCACCGCAATTACGTTTTCGTTTCTTTCAATAGGTACTATGGTGGACATTGTGGTGTTGTTAGACCACTCGGCCAGTACAACCCGTTCTCAGGGCCTCAATGTCTTCTACAACCCCGCCGTCATTGACTGGTCCAACATGTTCGTCGCCAATCTCCCCCTCGACAGATGTCCCGTCGGCTTCACCATCTTTGAGGACAATGCTCAGACACGACAGACCATCACCAGCGATAACACAATGTTAACCGGCGCCATCAACGTCCTAGCCACCGACAACACCATCCCCTTTGCCGGTTCCGCGGTCGACTTAGGCATCACCGAGGCAACCAGCCAGCTGATCAACAACGGTATTGCTGGAGCGAAGAAGGTGTTGGTAGTCCTCATCGATGGATCGTCTAATAATGATGCTGCTACGGAAGCTGCTGCTATTGCTGCCGAGAATATGGGGGTGGAGACGTGGGTAGTGACACTTCCGACCCTCATGGGCATGGCTATCACACAGCCCCAGCTGGAGGCAATTTCCCGCAGTCCAAGTCGTATTATCAGCGTGAACGACGACCAGGAGCTTCCACCGGTTGCAAGCAATTTGGTCTCTAGTATATGTCCTATGTAGGCCTGGTAGAGCGTGGAGTCAGCGTTTCAGTGTGGTCAACTGTCTGAGATGCTCGTGCAATGTTTGACAATTTCTTTGTTAAAACGGATTGTTCAAAGCTACTTCTCTTTACTGTAGCAAAAGGGGCGGTCGGGTAGCCTAGTGGTTTAACGCCGAAGCTCGTCATGCCGAAGACCCGGGTTCGATTCCCGACTTGGGTATATTGTATGAAGCCTATTTCTGGTGTCCCCCGCCGTGATATTGCTGCTTAAAGCGGCGTAAAACCATACTCACTCACTTAAGCTAAGGCTAACATTCTTTTGCACGATGCGATTCCCCTTGTTTTCTCCGTTGATTTGTGATATCTGTAAACTACTAGTAACGTTTTGATAACGTTTATAATATGTTTGTCAAATACGTTCTTAAACACAGCAATTTTTGACTCAGGTACATGTTTAATTAAGGTGTATTTACTGTGTCATGATTGTAAACTAAATGTTTCTTTTCGAAATCGAATAAAACTGATTTATCGGATGAAGTAATTTACTTATATATATTCAAAGTGTATATATGATCATTTCTGAGCTTTAAAATAATATGTGAACATGTGTCCATCTCCTCGTCTCTGACTACATAGATCCTTAAAACAATGTTTCATTCCAGCTTGCGGTGGGGTAGCCTCGTGGTTAAAGCGTTCGCTCATCTCGCTGAAAACCCGGGTTCGATTCCCCACATGATGTCCCCCGCCCTGATATTGATGAAATTTAACAAAAACTGCATGGAACCACACACACACACACTCACACCCACTCGCATGACGTTGTTTTGAGACCCACGAGAGAGGGTACGGTGCTTGTAAACAATCAATCATAATCAGGACGAATGACGGATTCAAACCTGCAATATTAGGATCCTGGTACGCCTAAGGGAAACAAGTCTGCATGGTAAATTGCGGCGTCATAGTTGACTGGGCCACCCATGCCCGTATTTGATTCATAATTTCCATCCTTTCAAACAGTTCAATTTTCCAAATAGTTTTGATAAAGTCTTGACCCCTTAGGGAGATTCCATAATAGGTTATCAGTACGTCTTTCGTGTCGTAAGGACTCACAAAAATGAAAATCTCGTGACTTTGACTCTGGATAGTACCAAATAGCATGGATCGTTGGTCATGATGTCAGTCACTGTTAATACTTTGTCATAGAGCTTGACTATGGTTCACAGCGGCGTTAAACATGATTCACCCACTCGTTATATGGCTATGGGAATAGTGAGTGAGTGAGTGAGTTGGGTATTACGCCACATTGAACAGTATTCCAGTCATACGTGTCAGCCTAGTGTGGGCGGGAACGATGCAAGTCTTACGCGTTTACAACTTTGGTGAAACCCACGAGCATATGACGGATTTGGTGCTGGCAAACCAAGGATCATAATCCGAGTTCAAACCCATTGGCATACTAAAGGGACGAAACTCCGCACAGCGCCGACGCCTTTGACGACTGCGGGACCACCATAGCCTCAATTACGGAAAGATAGATTCAGTGCATTAATCTTTTCAATATCTTCAACTGGACCCTTCTACAGTTACCTGAACGTATTGCCGTTCCGCGCCGGCATGGTCAATGTAAGCCATGACCCTACAACTCGCCTGGTCAGCCAAGAGTCATTTAAATCACGGCGTCATTGGTCTATCGTACTTATGCCCCCATTTCACTACGACCACGAATATCCCGAATCACCCCGAATCACCCCGAATCACCCCGAATAGGATTTATGTTCGTAGATAAACCTCAATCATTTCTTGAAGTTCTTAAATGAATCTTATCTGATTCCCAACCATTCGTACAGTTCGCGGGAGTTCGTCGAATCGGAGAGAAAGTTTTTATTTGTCAAACACTTTCGTGGAAGGGTCCCCGAATTGCAATTTCGTGGCTGTATCGTAATCCATTCGTAATTAATTCTTATGTTCCGTAACAGCTTCGTAATCGTTTTTTTGCATTCTTGGTTATTCTTAGCGATTCGAGACTCCCAAAATTTCTTGTCCTCAACCTTAAAACGTCCAGAAACAAATACGAATGTCCCGAGTCAACTACGAATTATGTAAGAATTAAATAAGAAGACAATCGGCATATTCGTAACTTAGTCGTAGGCGATTTTTACAATTCGTGCATGATCCGTATATGAAGCTTGTAATTCGTACATGTTTCATAACCCATTCTTGGCATTCTTCCTATCACGAATTTCGAAAGTTTCCGATTCGGAGTGATTCGGGATATTCGTGGTCGTAGTGAAAGGGGGGCATTACTCAGAACTATCTCCATCGGCATTGCTGTGTCGGCCCTCACACACAAGGAATTAACACAACACCAGGTTTAAACTCACAAACTTTTACTAACGCTTCAGTCCATTCTGCAAATACAACTTCTGAACAAGGTTAGACTCGTTACAGAGTGGGAAAACGGAGTGGTATTGATTTGCTTCAGTCACGGGAAAACCCCGCTCTACTCTGCTAGTGTTAAAGATGTCTTTTTAAAGTGATTTTGTCTGATCCTTCGTTGTCACATGTCATAATACATCAATTTAATTCGTTAAAACTTTAATCTAGGAACTTATGTGTGTCGAAATCGGAAAAATACCGTAGCTTACGTGACCTATTGAGCATCTCTTTACAGATTTTCTGAATCACCCTGTTTAGCCTTAACCGATGAAGGTGTGTTCTCTGATTAATTGATTAACAAAGGTAGCGTGAAAAGTCACGATGATAATTCGGAAATATTCTTTTTCTATCGATTTCTTTCTAAACCGAGACTTTGTCACCCTATCTGTGTACAATACCCTCACATGCTTGCATCTATCGCGGCGATAATCATTATTTCAAAGGCTTAATTTGTCACAATTCTAAATGTTTATGAGATGCATTTTAACCTTCTAACAGTATATACTTGTTTATAATCATTGTTAGAATTAACGCAATTTGTTTCAAATAAATGTTAAATTAATGTAAACATTTAAATTAAATTGACTTTTCAGTTTTATTGAGAGTGAAGGTATTTTATATTCTGCAAATAAAACCAATTCCATAATCACAAGAAATCTCTGCTACAATTGTAAACACATCCATTAAACCATTTCATGTTTTTCGCTCCCGAGCTCCTGTAAAGTTTTTCCCTATTAGAAGTGGTCATTGTAATGGTATTTGGGGCTATCTTGACTCACTTTGAGGCCCAACACGAGGAAAGGGATACCCTGCAATAAAATGGTTGAAACATGGACCATAACATTTAGGACATTTCACAATACAATATCATCTGTTTGAACACCACAGGAGAGAAGCCCCTGCTGGTCAACTGAACTCCAATCAATAGAATAGCAGATGATCAGAACCTGGTATGTTACTATATGATCTTAGTTACCAGTTGCTCCAACATTAGCAAGAACTGCAAGTGGAATGACTCCTAAAATATGATATGTCAACGCCGGAGAATAACGAGTCTCGATTGTCCCGAAATGTTGGGCCTAAGAGACAAATCGCGGGGAAAGTGGGAAAAAGAAATTGGGGTACAGCTTCGTGAAAATAGAGGAAAGGTTATCTACCTTTGTAACTGTACTTTAAAGGCTGTGTTTACCCTGTCTGGCGCACGACAATAAGGGAGCTCAGATTCAGTATACTGTGTTTAAGTGGGGTATTCATGGGTATCAGTGGACCCGCCCGCCCGCACGCACGCACGCTCGCACCTCTATGTAAGTGCAATAATCTTGACCGCGACGTTAAACCTCACATCCCCTGACCTCACGTTTTAGAAGGCTCCATCTAAAGGGCAGACCATTTTAAAATCATGACATTGACTGCATGAAAATACTTTTGACATGGTATGAATTTTATCCATCTTTGTTGCAGATCTTATTTCGTCACGATCTAAACAATCATGATCTACGACCCATACGATGTCACACAAATTATCCTTCCATGATCCGGTGTCCCCGCCTCGCTGTATTTGAGTAAATATTATAACCTCGTTGTTATCTTCATTTAATGTAAAACTTCAACTCCAGAGACTAACAAGACACGATTATCCGCCGAAACAGATTACACTAGGCATTAAGGCAAAAAGGCAAAAAAAATGTTAACATTATTTGAATGGATCATTGAAAATCATGATGACACAAGGTGTTCGCGAACAGGGTAAGCATGTCCTGCCCCATTCGTGACCAACTCGTGTTATTCCGGGACAAGCCGAATAGCGACTCGTGCCACTCTCGTGGCCATTTTTGCAACCAGGTTCCGTCTTGGCGCAAACGGGCATACCTAAAACAATTGTCAACTCGTTGTGTAATGGTTCACACATATTTCCCCGTATATTATATATATTTTAGATTCAATTTAAAGCAGATCTGGACATGCGGACTAATACAGTATGTTTGAACACATTTAACTGTGTCTTGGGTATATTTTAGATGCAACACACATGTAAAATCAAATATTATTTCTGAGGGATTCTTTGACAAAGAACTTGAAATCATACGCGCACTCTGATTGGTTTGTCGTATTTTCGCACATAACATTCATCGATAGGGGGACGAGTCTTCTTGCAGGTTACGGAAAGGGGCGAGTGGTGACGAATGGTCCTGCCCTACCGGTAGCACGCGTCACTCACAATTTGCATAAAAACGGAAGTGTTTGCTTGTTGCCTGAGGCGGCACAACATTATTCCAACCAATAAGTGTTTCGAGAATGGCAAATATTTCAGCAGAAAATACAGAGAGATGATTAATAAAAAAAGCAATACCATAACAGTCAATTCTGGGATGGTCATACACAAATAGTTCTGTTATCACAAATGGCCCCAGAGGCTCTGTGAAAGTATGTGTAGAGTAAGAATATCTCACAGAAATTAACAACACATTCGCCAAGAAAAAGACTGTCCATTTCCAGAACATTAATACACCAATACACCAATACCACGTTTGAAATGTTGGGTCGACAGAACATTGACGCTTCCAACCCTGCATATCTGTATATCTACTCCGGGCGGTATCAGCACATCATGTATATGGTCACCAAAACAGTGCCAATGGTATAAACATTCACCCATGCAAAAATGAACACGTGAGATATTTCCTTACTATACGCACGAACTACTACAAACATAATACCCTTCATTCCCTACAGAGGGGGCACGGGTGGCCCAGTCGTCTAAGGCGCCGCGATTCGCTGTGCAGAGTTGCGACCTTTTGGCACGCCAGAAACCTATGATTGTGGGTTCGAATCCCGGTTCGCCCCGATTATGTTTCTAGGTTTGTCAGCACCTTACACGTGC